TCTGGTAGAACTAATGGATCTTGCTGAAGCTTCTTTATTTATTAAACTACATTTATAAGGTAGCTAATGGAACTTCAATCATAAAGTTGTTTTTTTTAATAGTATTTCCACAAGAGATTTAATACATAGCTTTAATGAATTTGTACTTTATCCCAACCAACTGGGTAGGTTAATTAAACTTTTTTTTCATTAGTAACATTCATCAAAGTGTCATAGTTTATTTGCATTAAGTTTCTTTATAGTAAATGTATGGTTGCCTTTTTTCTTTTAATGAATGCTTCCTTTTGCATTTTTTATTCACTTAAGATTTATTTATGTATATTTTATGCATATGTGTGAATGCCTGTATGTGTGTATGAAGTACCATATTAATACCTGGTGCCCACACAGGCCAAAAGAAGGCATTAGATCTCTTGGAACTAGAGTGACAGGTAGTTGTCATCCACCTGATGTGAGTGATTTGAACTGAACCCAGGTCCTTTGCAAGAATAGTAAGTGCTCTTAACTGCTCAGCTCTCTCTCTCCAGCCCCTTGTTTGGTATTCCTGAATTAGAGTCTTGCTATGTGGGCTAGAGTAGCCTGGAACTCTTGATCCTCCTGCCTCAGTCTGTGAGTGCTGGGTTTACACGCCTGTGCTACCGTGCCAGGCTTTAGGGAGCACTCATTTTATTTACTCACAATGATAATTTACCATTCAAACACTCTTTGAAAATAGATTCATTCTAAAAAATATGGTATTCCTGACAGAGCCTTAATGTACACGTAGTTTTAGTTGTGAGTAATTAAAGTGTCAATAGAAGAATCTATAAAACATACATAAGCCTTTCTTAGGAACTTATTTGCTTTCAGTGGTTTTGCCATCTAAAAACAAAAGGAAGTTATTAATGTGGATATGATTAAGAAAAAACAAACCAAAACAAATGCTCTGGGGAAGTAGCTCATTTGTTAAAATGCTTGCCACATAAGCAAGAGCACTAGAGTTCAGACCCCCAGAACCCATGGGAAATGCTTGGTAGGGCCTGTAATTCCAGTTGGATGGCAGAGATGGGGTTCCTAGGGCAAGCCGGTTAAGTTAAACTGCCTGTTTCTGTAAGTTCTGGTTTTTAAGAAACCCTGTCACAAAAAGATTAAGCTGGGAGTAAAACATCAAGGAAGATAGTCTCTACTAACAAAAAAAAAAAAAGTGAAAATAATGTAGTTAGGTGGGTGAGGGTGGGGTGAACCAGGAGTATACAAAGATGGAAAGTATTTGAAATTGGTGAAATTCTTGTATTTACCCCAAGAGTCTGTATACTCTGATAAAGTAAATGAAACAAACTGAACTTAGAAGATCTCACTTCAAGACCTAACTTCACTCTTCAGCTGTGGTTCTGAAAGAACTCATGATTCTCTTTGAGTAGTTCCATGTTTCGGTGGGTCAGCCTCTTTGTTCCTAAAATAGTCTTAACTGTCACAGTCTTAGTCAATTATATCTAGCTCTGAGAAAGAGGAGAGCCGTGCTGAGACATTAGGGGAAAGTTGGAGAGACACCTGGTGACCTTTATTTGTCAGGAAGAGGCAGCGCTCCAGCTTCTTTCCTCCCCTTCCCTTCCTTGCATACTGGGGATTGACCTGGGGGCCATCGTCATGTAAGGCGAGCACTCTGCCACTGATCTGGACCCCACCCCCAGCCCTTTTCTAATTGTTAAAAATGGTCTTGCTGTTACGCAGACTGACCTGAGTCACTCTGTAGCCTAAGCAGGCTACTTTCAGTCTTCCTGTCTCAGACTCCTGATTATAAGCCTGTGCCAGGCAAGCCTGCTAGCATTGACAGCTTCTTACCTACTACTCAGAGCATTGCCCGTTTATAAATACCTGTTATATTTCACTTTTCCTCCATTCATTTTCTCTTCAGATTTGAATTTTCTCTGTGTTGGCGTTCTGAAAGTCACTGTGACAAAAATACGTGAGAAATCAATTTAAAGAAGAAAAGGGTTATTTGACTCAGTTTCAGCAGTCTGTGCTCACTTGGCACCATTGTTTTGGGCCCTGGTAAGGCAAAACATCATAGCCAGGATCCTGCAGTGGAACAGAGTGGCCCACTTCATAGCAGACCAGAGGCAGAGACAGAAAGAAGTGTTTGGGGACTAGCAGTGGATCTCACATGGGGGAAAGGGAGAATGGGCTCTCCCACACTGTCCTCTGGTCTCCTTCTGTGTGCTGCAGCGTACATGGGCCCCCAGTCACCTCTTCTACACACTAAATCAGTCAGTCAATCGTGAGTGAGTGAGTGAGTGAGTGAGTGAGTGAGTGAGTGAGTGAGTGAGTGAGTGATGGTGTAGGAAGTGATTGAAGAAGACACTCATTGACCTGGTTTCCACAAGCATACATGCACGTGTACCTGTACACACATGTGCACATATGAACATTACACATGCTTATACCATACACTGATATGAATGAATGTAAGTTGTTGTGACTGGAAATTACAACCTAGTCTCCAAGAGCACACCATAATGACTCATTTCCCTTCAGCTAAGTTCCACCTCCTAAATTTCTCTATGCAGGTATGAACCTGTCCATGGATTAATCCTTGAATGAGGTCAGGAGCCTCATAATTGAGGAACTCCTCAGACTTGGCTGTACCAGTAGTCAGCCTTTTGAGCAGCATTCCAGGTGAAACCATAACATCCTGTGTTACAGTCGCCACCTCCAGCACACACCACGTTAGGAAGAGGGCCACAGTGTGGGTTTTGGTTTTTGGTTTTTTCAAGACAGGATTTCTCTCTGTAGCTTTGGAGCCTGTCCTTTCCTGGATCTCACTCTGTAGCCCACGCTGGCTTCGAACTCACAGAGATCTGCCTGCTCCTGCCTCCCGAGTGCTGGGATTAAAGACGTGTGCCACCACCGCCCTGTAGGGCCACAGTTCTTAAGATAGTTGCTTACATGAAGTCTACAAAGCTGCCTGGTATTAAAAACATGGATGGTAATAAAATGCCTTTGCATAGATTTAGTTCTACTATCCGCCAAAGGAACATTTTCCACACTCTGAAGTGGTTCCCTTTCTTTTCCCAGGTTACTTTTTAAGCGTTACGAGAATCTGGCTTCTGTGACTATCAAATCACTTACATGTGTCTAGAAAAGTACGGGCTCCGCCATATACCTCATAAGTCTAGTATGTTCTTCTCGTTTAATTTTACCTCTGTGGAGTATCCAATTTTTGAATGCTTATTACCCTACTCTTCTTTGGTTTATGTTAAATTATAGTGTGTATTAGGCACTCAACCTACACACACACACACACACACACACACACACACACAAACACACACACACAAATCTCTTCATAGCAAGATAAAATCTTATTCCCACTTTGCAGAGGAAAAGGAAGGTAAATATCAGAGAAAAGCTAAACATGCATTCAAAGGTCCTGTATTTTAAGGAACCTATAAGGCAGATTTGAACTTGTGTCTGGTGATAAATGAACAATGAACATGTTACTTCCCTGCTGTGCCTCTAAGCAGAGTAAAAAGTACTGTCAGGAGATACACAGCACCAGGAAATAAATGTAGAATGCTTTCCTGGATATCCATTTTGCTTAAAGAGTCAGAGAAATAAACTCCGATTTTCAGGTGAAACACGAGGTTCAGAAGAAATTGATACTGTAGTGATTGCTTTAGGCTGCCCCCAGAGTCCCTGTGTTGGTGTCCTCTTTATTGTGGGCGCTTCAGTAGACAAGTTAGAGCAGCATCACCAGAGTAGTGACCCTTGTGTCCATCGAGCACAGCCTGCCTTATACTGAACTGAACAAGAAAAAGTTGGGGAGCCCCAAAATTCTACAGTGTCCAAATTGTCATTTATTCCAGAGTGAAAGTAGTTTGCAAGCATTCTGTGTTACTACAGCAACAGTTGCAAAATCTCAATGTTTTAGAACAACATGACCTCTTCCTCTCACTTCCAACTTGACAGCTCCAAGTTGGTTGCCATGGCTTGTCTTCATAGCTCATCTTCATTGCCAGCTGCTTCCTGGATCCCCCCCTGAGGAAGAAGCACCTCTAGGACATAGCCTTTCTGTGGTAACAAGGAAAGGGCGGTGCTGCTTTTATTTCTGCATTTGAGGGGATGCCCCAGTGGGTAGGGCTAAGGAGGCACAGTCTCTCACTTCTCCCCTTGCACTGCACTGGGAGTGCTGGGCTACAAATCCAGCTTTGACATGCAGATGGAGTGCACTGTAGGCTTGCTCCACATGTGCCTTTATCCCTGGCAGGTCTCCCCAGCCTACCACTGCTTTTTAAATCATGGCTCCGGGTCCATTTGTGTTCCACTATATGGCACTGGAAAGGACAGGCCAGAGTCCGTAGGGTGTAGATGGTGTTTCTTCCCACAGAGGGGATGATTCTGAGAGTAATACAGTTTACTATTACATAACCTATAGTATACAGGGATTTCAATAGATTTTTTTCAAAGATGGAGGTAATAAACAGTTAAATAGATTTGTCCTTAGTAAATTTAAAAACCTTTGTTCTGTGAAGAGCAAAAGAAAAAATAGCAAAGTAAACATTAAACTAGGCATTTTAACAATGTCAGGTTAGAATTGAAGATACGGATACATATTTACAGAAAATGAATATGGTAAAAATTATGAAAAATTCTAAGCAAGGTGCCTCCTTCCAATTGTATATAGCTTGCCATTAAAAATAAAAATATATCTTAGAATATTCTTTGTGGAAGAAAATCAAGTTACCAAAAAAATTATCATTTTTGCAATTCACTACAAGTGAAAAAAAAAAGTAAAACATGCTTCTTATAAATTTAAGCACAAAGAAAAGTTTAACTGCCTCTTGACTGTTCCATCTACAATATTAAAGTCCTGCCTTGTCGTGTGTGTGTGTGTGTGTGTGTGTGTGTGTGTGTGTACATATAAACATACACATTTTGGTGTGTAAATTTTAACCTTTTATTTGAAATACTTTTAGATTTACAATAGAATGAGAAAAAAATGAGTTCTAAGCCAAGCATGGTAACACAGGTCTTTCATCTCAGCACTAGGAGGCAGAGGCAGGAGGATGTCTGAGTTCTAGGACAGCCAATGCTACACTGGGAAATCCTGTCTAAAAAAAAAAATTAGTTCCAAATACTCTTCCTTCAACTTTCTGTCATTTGAACTATTATATAACCAGAGCACATTTATCAAAACTAAGAAACACATTGGCTCAACTTTAAGGAAGATCTTAGGCAAGTGTCTACAGCTGTTGGGAGTTCAGGAGTGCGGTGGTTACATTATATCCAAGAAGCTAGCACTGCCCAGCACTCCTCTGCATGCTCCAGCTCACTCTCTCTTCCTGCCTCCGCCTGGGATACTCCCTGAGCTTTGTAAGACGTAGCATCGAGGTTTTATTTAGGGCAGAGCATTCAACAGTCAAAACACTTTTGTTCAGTTAGGAGCCTCTGTATTGACTGCTGCCCACTGCAAAAAAAAGGTTAAGAACAGCACTAATCTATGGGTATAAACATATAGTTGGAAGTCAGTTTAACAATCTATGCCCATTCAGCCAAACAGCTGTACTAGATTGTCATATACTAGGGACATGTGTCCGTGCTTAGCGACTGTATCCTCCTGGGCTATGGGCATTTGAACATGTTTACCCTAACAGGCATGAATTTCCTCCTGTGGAGCAGGCCTTGAGTCCAATCAGAAAGAAGGTTTTGCCCCTTATGTAACAGTCATGCCGCTGTTTCACACACCTATGGGCTATCTTGCCAAACAGAATGGTATTGTAACATACGGAGTCTACCCAGGGTAAGGACCCTGGGACACATGTAGCCTGTGTGTCATGGGTTGGACACATCTGTTTTAGAATATTTTTAAAAATTGAAAATTTTTAATATATTCAACTTTACGTTTTTTTTTTTTAAGCCCATGGTTAGGCTGATATATTGTTTTTTCCTCAAAAACTAATTTTAAATCTATTTCTCAGAAATATGCATCCATTGGCAGTGAATTCTTCCCAGCACTGAGAAAATGTTTGATCAAATTTAAGATAGTTTTTTCTGTCTTCAGTTTTACCTGTGAGTTCTAGAAATGCCTGTGTTATATTATCGTTAATTCTGAAGTTTTCTCCATCGCATTTCTAACAGTTTGGTGTCACATAGGTTAGTGTTTGAGACCATGGCACAGTCCTTGGTTATTTTCCCCTCGGTTTTCTCTTGGAGTAGTTTCTAGTGGCCTGTCTTCAACCACACTGATGGTTTGTTTCTTCAGCTCTGTCACTTCCATTCATATGACGAGATCAGTGGCTTTTGATCTGTTGCTGTTAGTGTCCACCGCACTGCTGAAATGACCTTCTGATATGCATGCCATGCACCTTTTCAGGGACATTAGCCTATTAGTTTTAGTTACCTTGTATTTTCCATTAAATATTTCCGACATCTGGGTCATAGGTTGTGAATTTGCTTGCTTATTCAAATCTGTTCAGTACTTGAAAGTCAGCCGGCGTTGGTGGCACACGCCTTCAATCCCAGCACTTGGGAGGCAGAGGCAGGTGGATCTCTGTGAGTTCGAGGCCAGCCTGGTCTACAGAGTGAGTTCCAGGACAGCCAGGCTACACAGAGAAAGTCTGTCTCAAAAAAAAAGAAAAGAAAAGAAAGTCAGACATAAGGGCAAAGGACTTGAAATAACTGGATGGGTCACTTAAGCCGGGAGTAGGCACATTGTCTCTCTGGAAGGAGGGCACTGGTGGCGCCTAGGGGAGGAGTTGGACTGCTCTGTTAGGGTCACTGTCACTACCACAGGCTTCAGGTGTGTGGAGAACTAGTTTGTTTTTAGGGTAAGGAATAGTCTAAAGAGCATTAGCTGTTCGATTTGGATTTTTGTACTGTGGCTTACATAAGGTATTTATAATTAGAGTGATTTTTCCAGGAGTTGTAGGGGTCTGTTCTGATTAAGGTTTAGCCTCAGGCATATCTATCTATCTCTCTATCTCTCTCTCTCTCTCTCTCTCTCTCTCTCTCTCTCTCTCTCTCTCTCTCTCTCTCTAAGAGCTGGACCACACACATTTCTCTCAGCTACAATGAGTGCTCATTGCCACTTCCCTAAAGCCAGAAATGTTGCCTTCCCTTCATTCTTTAAACCTTCTCAACCAGGGCGTGGCGGGCTCCTGCAATCCCAGCACTGGGGTCAGAGGACTGAGATTTTTGAGGCCAGCCTGGTCTACTGAGCTAGACTCTGGGGAGGAGGAGAGATGTGCTGTCATGCATGTCACTCACCACAGTTTCTTGTTCCCCCACCTATGTGTGTACTACATAGAATTCTGTACTTAACTCCCCACTACCCCCATCCCTATCCCTTGGCAGCCCTATTCAGTCCTATGAATTTTTATTTCAGCTACCTCTTAGAAGTAGAATTCTACAGTTTTGTCTTTCATGACTAATTTATTTCAAATAGCAGTGTCCACATATAGCATTTATCAAGATTTCCTTCATTGTAAAGGCCAAGTAACATTTCATTTATGTATGTACCACATTTTCTTCATCCGTCAAGGGACACTTGGATTGCTTTTGTGTATCTTGAATATTGTGAAGAGTGTTTTAGAAACAGATATGTAAAGATCTCAGATTCTTGTTAACCAAAGCAGTGTAGGTATGGGTTCCATCTTGTGGCGTGAGCCTAAAGTCAGTTCAGATATTGTTTGGTTACTCCCACAGACTTCATGCCACCATGGTCCTAGCATGTCTTGCATTCAGAATACACTTGTAGTTTGAAAGTGTGACTGTGTTGATGTTAATGTTTCTCCTTTGGTAGCTTCCAGAGTACCTTCCTGTACAAAAAAATAAAAAACAAACAGAACATGCTGGAACATACACATGAAGATTCCATGTAGGCACCAGCTCACTTCAGTTTGGTCAATGAGTAGATGTTGGTTTCAGTAGTGGATCAATACCATCAGTTTATAGAGAGCAGGGCAACACACTGAGTTATTTGGGGGTCCCATGGGAGTACTTTAGCCAACAACTCAGTTAGGTGTAACCCAGTTCCAGTCCTGGAAGCTCCATTTAGTGACAAGAGATATCCAGTTGGGGCTCTGTCTACTTTATTATTTGATGATTTTATGTAGATCGCCTTCATATACATATGTATTTTGGGACCCTTCTACTGTATCAGATTTCTGTACTATTCAAATGGCTCTTGATTTTAGCTGTCTTTCCCCATAGTCTCTCCCTTGTCCTCTCCTGTCCCTCTTCCCACTTGATCTTTCTATCCCAGCCACACACACCTCCATCCACCAAAAATTATATTCTAGTTTGTTTTCCAAATGAGATCTATCTGTCCACTGCCCATTCCCTAACCTGACCTCTGTGGTTTTACAGATTGTTGCCTGGCTATCATTGACTTAATAGCTAATATCTTCATGTAAGCAAATACATACTATATTTGTATTTCTGGTTCACAAACATCTATGTTGTTTCCAGTTTCTGGCTATTATGAATAGAGTGCAGTAAACATGGTTAAGCAAGGGTCTCTGTGGTAGGATAAAGTGTCCTTTGGGTATATGCACAAGAATGATAAGCTGGATCTTGTGGTAGATCTATTCCTATCCTCCTGGGCAACCACCACGCAGAGTTCCAAGTGGCTGTACAAGTTTGTACTCCGGCCAGCAATGGATGAGTACTCCCCTTACTCCATATCCTCACCAGCATGAGCTGTCATTTGTTTTATTGATCTTAGCCATTCTGACAGATGTAAGATGAAATCTCAAAGTAGTTTGGATTTGCATTTCTCTGATGACTAAGGATGTTGAATGTTTGTATGTTTCTCAGCCATTTGAGTTTGAGTTTCCGCTTTTGAAAATTCTCTATTTAGATCTGTATCTGTACCCCCTTCCCTTTTTTGTTTGTTTTTTGTTTTTCAAGAGAGTTTGCCAGTGTATCCCTGTCTGCCCCAGAATTCACTGTAAAGACCAGGCTAGCCTTCAGAGATCCGCCTGCCTCTGCCTCCCAAGTGCTGGGATTAAAGGCATGCACTGCCACCACCCGGCTCCATTTTTTAATTGTGTTATTGGTTTTCTTGACATCTTTTTTTTTCTTTTCTTTTCTTTTGGTTCTTCTATATATTTTGGGTATTATCCCATTATCTGACGTATAGTTGGTAAAAATCTTTTCCCATTCTGTAGGCTGCCACTTCATCTGAATGATGGTGTCCTTTGCCATGCACAAGCTTTTCAGTTTTATGAGGGCTCCTTTATTAATTGTTGATCTTAATGCCTATACTAATGGTGTACTGTTCAGAAAGTCCTATGCCAATGATTTCAAGGCTATTCCCCACTTTCTTTTGTATCAGATTCAGTGGATCTGGTTTTATATTGAGATCCTCAATCCATTTGGAGTTGAAGTTTGTGCAGGGTGATAAGCACGGATCTATTTGGACTCTTCTCCACGCAGCCATTCAGCTTGACCAGTACCATTTGTTCAAGATACTGACCTTATTCCAGTGTATTTTTCTGGCTTCCTTATAAAAAATCAGGTGTCCATAGATGTGTGGGTTTATGTCTGGGTTTTAATTAAATTTCATTGACCAGTGTGTCTGCTCTTGTACCACTACCATGCTGTTGTTATTACCATAGCTTAGTATACAAGATGAGCCAGGGATAGTGATACCACCCACAGTTCTTTGGTTTTTTTTAATTTAGGGTGGTTTTAGCTATCCTGTTTGTTTGGTGTGTGTGTGTGTGTGTGTGTGTGTGTGTGTGTGTGTGTGTGTGAAGATCTGTGTAGAATTGTGTTGGAATTTTGATGGAGATTGCAGTGAATCTGTAGATTGCTTTTGGTAGGATGGCCATTTTTACTATGTTCATCCTACTGACCCATGAGCATGGGAGATGTTCCCATCTTCTGATATCTTCTTCAATGTCTTAAAGTTTTTATCACACAAGTCTTTCACTAGCTTGGGTAGTTACCCAAGATACTTTATATTATTTGAGGCTGTTATGAAAGGTGTTGTTTCCCTGATTTCTTTCTCAGTCCATTTGTCGTTTGTATAGGAGAGCTACTGATTTTTATGAGTTAATTTTATATCCAACAACTTTGCTGAAAGTGTTTTTCGGCTGTAGGAGTTTCCTAGTGGAACTGTTTGAGTCATTTATGTATACTATCATATCATCTGTGAGTAAAGATACTTTGACTTTTTCCTTTTCTATTTGTATGCCCTTGATCTTCAATTGTCTTATTGCTCTAGCTAAGATTTCAGGTATTATATTGAATAGATGTGGAAAGAGTGGTCTACCTTGTCTTGTTCCTGATTTCAATGGGATTGCTTTGAGTTTCTCTCCATTTAAATTAATTTTGGCTATGGGCTTACTATAAACTGCCTTTTTTATATAGATGTATGTCCCTTGTATCCCTATTCTCTCTAAGACTTTGATCGTGAAGGGTCATTGGATTTTGTCAAAGGCCTTTCCTGTATCTTATGAGATGACCATGTGGTTTTTGTCTTTCCATTTGTTTATATGATGGATTATATTTATTGATTTATATATGTTGAACCATCCCTGCATCAATGGGATGAAGCCTACTTGATCATTGTGGATGATCTTTTTGATTTGTTCTTGGATTCAGTTTGCAAGTATTTTATTGAGAATTTTTGCATCTATGTTCATTATGGGAAATAGGTCTGTAATTCTTTCTCTTTGTTGGGTCTGTATGTGGTTTGGGTATCAGAGTAACTATGGCCTTGCAAAACAAATTGGGCAGTGTATCTTTTTCTGTTTTACGGAAAAATTTGAGGAATGTTGGCATTAACTCTTCTTGGAAAGTCTGATAGAATTCTATGCTAAAACCATCATCTGGTCTTTGGCTTTTTATTTTGGTTGGGAGGCAGTTAATGACTGCTTCTATTTCACTAAGGTTTATAGGTCTATTGAAATTGCTTATTTGATCTTGATTTAACCTTAGTAAGTAGTATCTATCAAGAAAATTAGCCATTTCTTTTAGGTTTTTCCAATTTTGTAGAATAACCATTTTTCAAGTTGGTCCTAAACCAAAAATAAAATAAAATAAAAACCTTTAGTTGGGTGATGGTGATGAATACCTTTAAACCCAGCACTCTGGAGGCAGAGGCAGAGGCAGATAGATCTCTGAGTTCAAGGTCAGCCTGGTCTACAGCACAAGTTCCAGGACAGCCAGGGCTACCCAGAAAAACCCTGTTTAAAAAAAAAAAGAGAAAAGAAAACAAAAAATAAAGTATGTTTTTATGAGTCTCCGGGTTTCCTCGACGTCTGCTGTTATCTACCACTTTTCATTTTTAATTTTGTTAATTTGGATATTCTCTCTCTGCCCTTTAATTAATTTGGATAAGGGTTTGTCAATCTTACTGATATTTCTCAAAGAACCAAATCCTTGTTTCACTGATTCTTTATTTTGTTTATTTCTATTTTATTGGTCTCAGCCCCGAGTTTGATTATTTCTTGCCCTTTCTTCTTTTTTTTTTTTTTTTTTTTTTAAAGATTTATTTATTTGTTATGTATACAGTGTTCTGTCTGCACATATCCCTGCAGGCCAGAAGAGGGCACCAGATCTCATTACAGATGGTTGTGAGCCACCATGTGGTTGCTGGGAATTGAACTCAGGACCTTTGGAAGAACAAGCAGTGCTCTTAACCTCTGAGCCATCTCTCCAGCCCCCGCCCTTTCTTCTTTTATTCTAGAGCTTTCATGTGTGCTGTCAAGTTACTTGTAGATTTCTGCAAAGTTTCTTTCTCTCTTTCTTTCTTTCTTTCTTTCTTTCTTTCTTTCTTTCTTTCTTTCTTTCTTTCTTTCTTTCTTTAATATAGGCACTTAGTGCTATGAACTTGCCTCTTTGAACCACTGTCTTTATGTCCATATGTTTGGGTATGTTGTGTATTCATTTTCATTCAAGTCTAAAAAGTCTTTGATTTCGTTCTTAATTTCTCTCCATCTATTTTTCATTCAGCAGTGAGTTGTTCAGTTTTCATGAGTTTGTAAGCTTTCCGTTATTTCTATTGCGGTTGATTCCTAGCTTTAATCTATGGTGGTCAGATAGAATGCAGGGTGCTATTTCAGTTTTCTTTTATTGTTGAGAATTGTTTTGTGTCCAAGTATGTGATCAGTTTTGGAGAACATTACATGTTCTCTGCTGAAAAGAAGATTCTTTTGTGTTTGGGTGAAATGTTCTGTAGATCCCTGTTAAGTCCATTTGGTTTATGATGTCCATTAGCGCCAGCAGTTCTCTTGTAGTTTTTGTCTGGATGCCCTGTCTATTGGTGAAGTGGATGATTGCAGTCTCCCACTATCCAGATGTGAGATTCAGTATATGACTTAAGCTGTTGTAGTAGTGAATGTTTTATGAGCTTGGATGCCCTTATGTTTGGTATATAGATGTTGAGGATTGCAATGCCCTCTTATGTAATGTCCTTCCCTATCTCTTCTGATTAAATTTGGTTTGAAGTCTATTTTGTCAGGTACTAAAATGGTTACACCAGCTTCCTTCTAGGGGTTCCTTTTTCGGTCCATTACCCTGAGTTGATGTCAAGGTGTGTTTCTTGAATGCAGCAGGAAGGATCCTCTGTTCTCATCCATTCATTCTATTAGTCTATGTCTTGTCCAAGTTCCTAAAGTTTTCATTTTCTAGCTTTCTCTCAGTGTGGATTTGCTTTGTTAAGTCTATTTCCACTCTCAGTTTTGAGCTGTTGAATCTTTCCTTGCACTGTGTTGTCAGAGACGTCTTTAAGGACCTCTGTTCTATTGATAAAGGCTATTTCTACGTCTCTTTCTTGTGCTTCGGCTCTGTTGCAGTGCTCAGGGTG